TTTTTTTTTTTTTTTTTCATATTATATTGAAATGGTATAAAAATTGAAAGATTATCGCCGAAATGACACGAGTGATCGAAAATCTATTGTACCTATTGATTATTATTCATTGATCGATTAATCATAATTCGTACGCAATGCAATGACATTTATCGAATAGAATTAATAATAATATTCGAATTCTTATTGTTAGACTTGTGTACTCTATGTTCCTTATATTTAAAAGAAAAGAAAATAAAAAGAAGAGTAGAGAGAAAAATGGCGGAAAAGAAGTTTATTTTTCCGGCAAGGTGCGCTTGAAAATTCGAAGAATCATTCAGGTTTTTTCGAAGCCTTTAATAAATATTCTAGATAAATCGTACGTACGTTTTCTTGCGCCATACTTGCACTATAATAGAAATAAGAAATCGTGGTTCTAACATGATGTCTTTCGTAAATGTACTTTCATCGATTAGTATGCGTCGTCCAAAAATCTGACACGAGAAGATAAGTTTAATGAAGAGATAAACGAAACTAAACTATCTGCATAATCTCACATTTTGTTACAAGTTGTTACACCCGTAAATTAGATATTGTACGATACACCTTGTACGTTCAACGAATTCATTTTATCGGCTATATGTAAAATGTATTTTTTGTTGCGATCATTTTTGTTTTTCTTTTTTTTTTTTTTTTTTACGATTAGATCATTGTTAACATTGTTATACTCGTGATAATATACAGTCTGATTAAATTATAATACGTAACTTTCGTATCGGCTGTTTAATAATGATCAATTTATTTATCAAAGTGAAGAAAAGTGAAGAAAAGAAATGAACGGGATAAATTTGAATCATCGTACTTTTTAGCGATAGTAGAAAATAACAGAGATGATCGCAAAACTTCTCGTTAGTCTCGTTTTTCGAAATTTGTCATTTGAGAGACTCGTTTCGTAGTTAACGCTTCTCCCAATGTTGTTAAATAATGCAACATTGCATGAGAATTATGAAATAAACTGACCAATAATATTTCATGCGCAAGCTTCCTACTGTGTATACCTATACATATTAAAATACATGTTGGCAGGTTAAGAATTTCACTCTAGTATTGATAAATATATGTTATAACGGATATAATTAGTCATTTTATTATATCAGTGTTTTACATCGAATGTGCAAACGAATTTTAGATTTGTTCGTAAAGTTTGAAAAGGATTAGAAGGATCATCATTTTTGCGTATGAGTATGATGGAAACGTAGAACGGATGATGAATGAGTTTAAATGCAATCAGTTTTACAAAATGCACGTTATCACGAAATGCGTATCTTTACGAGAACGTAATATTATTGCATAAAAGCTAATTGCAACTATGAATATCATTGAGTTTATGTAAGGTTTTTGTATTGTTAAATGATTTTCAAATAGCTGATGTAACTTAGTAATTATATGCTGTCATTAAAATTTTCCAATATTTGGAGTCCTCTTCTTCTTTTTTTTTTCATTACATTCTCCAAATAAACGTGTAACGTTAATTAATACAATTAACAAATATTTCATTGTCTTTATCAATCACTTACCAATCAGACTTGTCAGGAACAACGGAACTCGGGAAAATAATTCGGAGATATTTTGTCGTCGCAAAAATTGCTAAATAAATTGCTAAATAAATATAATAATAAATAATAATGAAAATTAAATGTACTTTTTTTCACGATGAAATTTAATTGAAAAGCAACATCGATTGATATACAATCAACTCGAACACGATCACCTCAAGACTGTACCTTGACATTCAATACTTAATATTTTATCTTCTAATTCTTATTCTTCCAAAGTTTCTACCAATAACAACATCAGTTTTTTTTTCTCAATTACCAATAATATTAAAAGATAGAGAATACAACGGAAATGACTTTTATGTGTATCTTATCTAAGTACATCAATACTTTTACCTAGTACTATATTATAAGATAAAAGTAGACTGCTATCGAGATAAAAATGACGATAATAACTTTATTTATTAACAAGATGACCAATATTGACGTACGAGATATTCGGTAGAAATCAAATCAAACTTACAAATTGTCTTGCGATGTTAATGTACATATGACAAGTATTTTTGCATATACTTAACGATAAAACTTTGTCAAATGAATTGAATCGTTGATCGTAAATTTAAATTTCAAGCGTGAGCCTGAGCGTGTATCGGATAGGGCAGATCAAAGTGCGTTGGCGTTTCTTGATGACTTCTTTCGTGCCAACCTTCGGCTACAGGTGTATGATACAAACCATAATTGACACCATTGGTTGCTATTTTCTTCAATCCTTGTATACTAGACAATAATAAAGCCATCTTAGCGAGAAGCAAAGCTTTACCACCAAGAACGGCTAGAAACTGAAAACCCATTGGTACGAGTATCGAACCCATCAATAATAGACCCATCATCATGAGAGACATTGCATGATGACGTCGTTTATGGCGGCGTCTCCGTCCTGATGATACGGAAATAAATCAATCGAAAGAAAAGGAAAATGTATACAAACGCGATATGACAATCGAATGACCGTAATTTTGTGTTCAATTTTTTGTTCTTTTTTTCTTTTTAAAGATATCGTTTATTACCTTGAACGGTATTATTGTTACCGGATGTATCTGTCTCGGTCTCATTTATTGGCGAAGATATGCTGTTAACTATGTGGTCAACGTCGATCTTCAAAACGTGCGTACGTAAAACTCCGGTCAATCGATTCAATACTATTCCCGTCCAATTAGAAGTATCATCTGTCTCGTTGTACGTATTATCCATTCTGAAATAGAATTTATATTTTTTTCTTTTTTTTTTTTTTTTGTCGCGATAATTATTTCGAATTCAAACGGGATCCCCGTCGTCTTATATAGTTTTATAACAAAATAATACAACGTACTTGGCCATATCATTTGTCAACGATGTTGCATTATTATCTTGAAATCGTATTAAATCGATACCGTCTATAACTGGTATGACATCGTCGATCAGAAGAGAATCCAAAAAGTTGAGAGCACGTTGTTGTATGCATTGTCGAAAAATGTCAATAAAATCATCCTGACTGAGATTGTTCCAAGGCATTGAAGGACAATTCTTCAAGGCAGATCGTAAACCGAAATACCACTCTGCTTTATCGTCACAATTGCTTCTCTCGGTAATGACGAATAGAAGTAAAAACACGATCAACGAATGTCGATGCATCATCTGCACTTATTAAATTCATTTGCTTAAAAGTATTGTTAAATAGGGTCACCGATTATTTCAATTATTTTAAAGTTAATGATTACAATATTATGAAATGGAGAAAAAAAGTGTGTAGTAAAAGATAAAAGTTAAAAAAAAAAAAAAGGAAAATTCCTCGAGTTGTTCATCCATTGTAAGATCTTACCTCAACAAGAATATGACGAAAATTAACGTGGACTTGATATCTTTTCACAATGACACCGTATTACGCACTGCAAATAACTGGACGTTTTATGCGATTTTATACCTGTAGAAAATAGGACAACGTATCGTATCTATAATCATTGAGATTCATCGAAGGGCATCAAGGTAGCGGTCAAAAGGCGGACATTCTGCTCGACCAACCTTAGTCTACAATCATGCAAGGAAAATGTTAAAGCGAGCAAACGTTACACGACAGTTGCTTATACGAATAAAATTCCTATGACGGCTAAATGATCATATTCTAAATGAAATCTAAATATTATTGTGGACAAAAAGCACATAATACCAAAATCTTTTGGAAGAACAAAACATACTAACTATTTATTTTCATTATTTTTCAGTTTTGTACATAGTCCGGTGTGTCTCTACGCACTGAATTTTATTTTCAAATCTCTCTAAGAGAATCTAATATAATTTAAACTTGATGATATCCTTCCTTCGGTCATATTAATTTCTATCTACTAAATCTAATTATACATTTTCGGATTAGTTAAGCACTAGCGCTATAATTACAGTCCCAAGAATAAGCATATATTACGTACAGTAACTATGATTAGCAACTAATACTTCACATGAGATCCTTTTTTTTTTTTGAACAAAATTTCTTCTTCATTTAAGATCCATACTCCGACCAAGAGAAATTGCATTTACATGCATATGCGTATATATTTGTGAATAGGTTTATATATATCGATTGTTTTATTATTTCTTTTTTTTTTTTTTAAATATTTTTCTTTCCAAGGCCCGACGTAGACGGAGTTCGTTTAAAAAAAAAAAAAAGCACCTGAATTACAGTAATCGTAAATATTAGCAATGAGACAATCCCGACGATTGTCGTATTGCACGAATGAGCTTAAATGACAAAAACGCTTCCTCCTCTCGACACCGATGGTCCTTTGGAAAATAACCGAATACTCGTTATAATAGATATACATGTATTTACGAGGCCATAGGAACGTAAAACTTCTTTGCAAAGTGTCTTCACGCAAGCCATATTGAATATTTTGTTTTGTTTTATATTGCACTGGCTATAGTGTCTCGATGCACTTGAGCTATAACCCCAACGTGAGAACTGTCTGCGCTCGATCTCGGACTGATGTTACACTCGATCATAGAGCCATTGTGTTTCTGTATCACTATAGATCGAAATTCACCACATTCACTAGTGGAAGGTTGATTTCCTCGAGCACGCACACCCTTCGTTAGGATCCTTTTAAATGCTTCTCTGAATTCTGTATTGAAGATACTGTAGATGATCGGGTTGAAGGCCGAGTTGCTATAGCCAAGCCACGTGAGTACCTGATGTCAAATTTTATTTCAAATTGTGTAAAATTCAAGCGAGCAATAACAAAAACAAGTGACAAGAACAAAATCAAATGTCTAATAAATACGATCATACTTGGAATGCTTGCACTGATATGCAGGTTTTACAGTAGGCTGCAACAATGTTAACGCAGAAGAATGGAACCCAGCATATAAGAAAGACGCCCATGATAACGCCTACGGTAATTGCTGCCTTATGATCGGATACGTGATACGGACTAGTCGGTTTTGACTTCATTTGAGGTTTTGGTGGCTTGTAACGACTCTTTGTACGAAAGCTTTTTCTTACAGATACTTCCGGTATTTTCGTGACAGCACGAATACTTTTCACGTGTTTCTGCGCGTAGCAATAGAGTCTAATAACGAAAAAGAGAGTTACCTGTTATCTACAGTGTATTATTGCTATTGAACCAGTTAACGGATGTTCTACTTTGCTACTTTATTCTACTTTTAAACTAGGAAGAACTTTGATCACGCTTTCTTCGTGTTGAACAAATATATTCTATGCATAAATATCGTGTAAATCGTTCATTGATCCTCACCTGCAATAGATTCCGATCATTACCATGCAAGGAACGTAAAAAGAGATACAAGAGGATACCACTGCGTAGGTAGGGGTAAGGTCCAGGGCGCATGTTGGATGTTCCTGAGAAAAAGAATAAACGATAGTTTAGTAAGATAATATTTCTAACGGATATATATATATATATATGTACCAATATTGTGGTCGGGATAATAATTGAATCAATGATCGTTGGTATCACGACAGAAAATATGAGACACATGTTCGTTAGCTTTAATATAATCGATCAATCGGACACATTTGATTATACAGCATAGTAAAGCATTCGTTTGTGCGTTTAAAGCGTATATCAAGGCAAAGGGCATGCCTTAAGGCCATTTCTTATTACGTAAAGCTATGCCAGCTGGATTTAGAAGATAGATTTTTCAAGTATATATATATGTATATCCGTAATTGACACGATTATTTTCGTGATTATGATTATATTTGTTTTTCTTTCACGTGTGGATACCACTCTCACGTGTAGACCGTTAAATATATATATATATGTTATATTTGTATATAGCTGAAAATCGCTCGAACTGCGGCGCTCGGAAACATATTGTTGCGCATGCACGCTCTTAGAGGCGTGAATATACAATATTGCATATTATTTGCGTTGCACATAACTAAACTCAATGCGAAAACTGAGGCTGCGCTTCATAATTAACAGAGATTACTGACTTGATTATGATTATCACTTACTCGGACGCCCGAATTCGAAAGAAGGCTGAATGAGATTCTTGTAGTGTTGATCAATGATTTGTAAGTATGCCTACTCCTATTGTTCTACCACGCGATCTCTATAGAGATCCCCTTACATATCCGTTCCAGATGCTTAACCCGTATCCTTCTGTCATGAGTATTGTATTTTCAGAGATAATCGATGTCCCAATAGTCAAAAGTTATTTTGGTCGCAGATTGTGAAGTCTTGCACTATCGTTACCTCTTTCCCATCATTATAAACCAGGAACTGATCTGCTCTATGAAGACCCAGGCTGATCGGCACGAAAGAAATGAGACCTGCTAATAGCCACACAACAGCGATCCCAGCAGTTGCAATTCTCCTGGTTACCCAGCGACCGTATCTACCCATATATATATATACAATTCAATATACAATCAAACTTTTCATTTTTCGAAAGAGAAAATGTTTATTTACCTGAGCGGATCCTTGATGTGAATGTAACGATCGAGAGATATAGCGCATAAATTCAAAATAGAGGCAGTGCTACACATAACGTCGAAAGCGATCCAAGTATCGCAGAATTGCGTGCCGAAGACCCAGTATCCGAGAAGATCATTTACACCGGCAAATGTCATCACCAAACAACCGACGAAGAGGTCAGCAATCGCGAGGGATGCTAGAAATAGGTTTCCTATTCTTCGCAATCCTCGATCAGTGTAAATTGCTACGCAAACTAGGACATTGCCAGCGACTGATAAAAATACAAGTATCAGCAGCAGGAATCCTGCAAAATTCAAATAAAAATCGATGAATGAAGAACAATTTCTGATACATTTGTCATATACTTTCATTATAAATAATATTCTCAACCGTTTTGTTGTTTTTCTCCTGTTAATTATAGATACGTATCTGTAAAATCAATTGAAATTCAATGAATTTCTAAATAATAATTTATCTTTTTTTTTTTCTTCTTTTCGTTCTTACTTACGATGCGCAATAGAATTTTCTATTTCAACATACATAGACAAAATTTCCTAGTCTCTAGGTGAATAATAAAATGATTCTCTATTGTCGTACAAAAATAATCCTTTCTTCGTTCTGACAGCTATGACAAAGCTTTTAAAGTAGGCCACGACTGGATTGCTTATCGGAAAAAGATTACCTCTAATTGAAAACGTTTTACAAGATTTACGATTATTTCAAATGATGAGAATATGGAAATGAAAAAAAAAGGGGTTTGGGATATTTAGCTGGTTGATAAATTATTGCGCAACGTATTATATTTATAATATATAGGATATTCCTCAAATAGTGAAAATAAATTTGGAAAAATGAAATATGAAGTTTGGCGAACCGACTAGAAGCACCGACAGCAACGTGGAAGCCTCTTCGGGTAGAGCCTCTTCATCACCGATCGTCAAATTGTTCTGTAAAAAAATACGAAAGAGACAGAGATTAACAAAAATAATATTCCAAGTTATAATTTATGATTCTTCAATTTTGAATACAAAATGATATTATCTTTCAGTTGTTCTGTGCACAAAAGCTTTAATATTGTATGTATATATGTATTTAAGATTCGTTTGATTCAACGATATCGATTGAAAATTCACAGTGGCGGCCATTCCGTTTGACATCAGCAACGAAAGTAACTCGTAAAATTTCTATAATTTTGTTTCATGATAATTAACGGATGATGACATTTTGTTCGTCGATGTTTGGTAAAACAACGGTAAATGAGATATATTTTCATTTTGTTTTTTGTTGTTGTTTTTTTCTTTTCTCGTGATAACATTATATAATCTTCAAAGCATAAATATCTTTGCATCTAAAACAGCAACAGAATAATAATTAAAAGAGACAAAAATAAAGTTGGTATCGAAGAAGAAGAAAGAAGAAGAAGAAGAAACTAATTAAAAATTACGTGAGAAGTTTCGAAAGGCAATTGATTATTATTTTGTAAATAACTTTCAAGAGACTTTTGCGGCAATATGGAAAAAGAAAAAAGACCAAAAGAAAAATGAAATGTTTTTCAAAATGAACAATAATTTTGTGCGAATGGATTCGTTTTAATATTCATTTGCAAATGAAAATCATGACAAGTTGTTCGTATTGATCATCTTTAAAGCAATTGATATTAAATCATTGATGCATAGGAGAGAAAAATGATACGAGATTAACGATGTTGATTATTCTCGAGGATGTTATTATGGTACTTTTGAGAAAAAGACCAATTGTTTTATTTTTTTTTTTTTTTTTTTTTTTTAACATATATGGAACGATTACCGAATTCCCAACAATTCATCATCCACAAGATCGAACAGATCAAATCCTGGATGGATCCATTCTTCGGAAACACATCATCGGTAGATAATACACAAATATCATGGAAGATGGTAATCCTCGTTCCGCAATCACTGAATTCACGTGTTATCATGATATTTTCCATGAGTATACGGTGAATGTTGAAGGTTGATAACCTGCAATTATTTTCCAATCAAAATAATACGTATACTTGTCGAGATATCTTCCAACGATGTTTCCTAAACATTTTCATTCTCGATATTGTTCGTGTTATCGGTTTCAAGATATCGCATAGTTAATAAATTCAAATCATTTCATCGGAAACAATTAACAAACTCGATCAGATCGATGTAATCATTTTCATTGGATGATAATTGTTATAAACGAAAGCTGTCGTATTGAGGGAATTACTGTTACAATATATAATAACAATTATTAAATGTGTCATTATTATAGACTAAACATAAAAAAAGTATAATTTGAAAGATGGAAAATTCAATGAACAATAGGCAAATAGTAACCGCACACGGGACCTAGTGCTGTAGCCATTTGTCTGAAGAACAAAAAAAAATCCAATCATTGAATCTACCATATATATATTTAAAATTATATATTTTTATATTATTGTCATTCATATTTGATTCGAAATAAAAATTTACAATTAAAAACACGACAACTCTCGGCGAAGCACATTCATTGAGCTCGCATCAGATCTAGCGGGTGTGTATAGAATTTCAACATAGTTCTGCTCGAGTTTTTCAAGAGAAGTATTGCAAAATGTGATAAACCGGAAATCATTGATGTTCAATTAAGAGTAACTGGTTTGTATACGAGTATATAAACACGAACGGTAAGCAGATTTCACAATAATGAGATAGCCTGATCGATCGGCAGCTATCTTGGACAAGTGGTCAGTGGGCTCGAGTTGGTCTCTGGCTCGTTACCACCTCCCTCTTTTCACACTGTTCCCTTTCATACTCGAACTCTATACGTCCTCCGTTGTTCCACTCTAAGGGTAAGTGAGATAAGAGGGAGTATGAAGAAAGCCCCGTCTTTTATTTAACTACCACGCGAAATTCTAATTCTCTTCTCAATTCAGTAATCAATTATCATTAAATATCGTTCAATCTGATTAGAAAGATCTACCATTAAAATGTCATAATATGTTCAATAAAATTAAATCTAATTCGAATTGGCAGATCGACGTAACTAAAGTCGAAGTATATTCGGGGGTGAGAGAGAGAGAGAAAGAGAGGAAGGGGAAAATGGGACTATCGATCCTCGACGATGAAAGAAATAATACAATTAATCGAGTGCTATCATTTGCAATTTCTATCTTATGTCATTAAAATAATAAATGCATTATTATTCGAACATCCGCTTGATCGAAGTGTGACCTAGTAAAATTTTCCTCTAATTATAAACCGGTCGGTGGTTGCTATTCCATTGAGAAAATGTTACACTCCATGTTTCTTGCGTGCCTCAATCGATCTAATCTATCGAAAATAATGTTTAAGAATAAATAAAAGAAATTTAACGATCCGATCGTTTATATCTATTTCCAACAAATAGAACAATTGCACTATATGTAAGCCTCTTTTAAAGGAAAAGGTCCGTACACAACGAATACGATTTCATCAAAAATGATCATACATATGAAAAAGAAGACATTTGAGGAAGAGACATATGTATATAGGATACTTTGAATATTTCTAAGATTTCTAAGATTGAATGCAACCCCTTTATATGCGACAATGACAAAAGATTGATAGAACAAATAAATCGTAATACTTTCGGTGTGCAGAGGCCTTTAACCTTGCTATTGATTTTAAACAGCTCGAAGCGTACTCCTTTGCAGCCAAAGGAAGATAAAAATTACAATCGGCAAAAATTCTAATCCCATCGAAATAAAAGCTAAAATACAAAAAAGTATATGTTTTATCGAGGAGCTAGTTACGATTGAAACATTCAAGAACCTGTTGCAGTTTTCTCTATTCTTCAATGACTTGATCTAAGCCACGTCTCTATTCTAACTGAAAATGAACAACATTTAGGCGCCTTCAACGCAATAACATTATGATATTAAAGTTGTCATTTAATTTTGCCACTTCGAAACGTTCTGTATATTTAAACATTAATATCGGGATAAACGTGTGGAATAAAAAGCTTCATAATTCGTGAAAATATAAATGCGAACTCAAGTACTTGTAATCAACAGGCTGACGCAACAAGCTTACTTTCAACTGTTGCAGAGTTTGAAGCATATAACTTATATATGTTACTTTTTATATTTATATATAGTTTCTATCCTACGCATACTCGGGACAAACAAAAATTAGATATCCTTGAAGGTTCTTCTACGAATGGAACGTAAACGGACTTGTGAAAAACATATATATGAAAATTTGGATAAAATCGAAAGATAATTATCGATCGTTATAATAGACATTGTTCGTTCGAGAATATACAAATATATGTTACATATATCGAAGAAAAAAATACAAAAAATTGTCTTAAAAAATGTAAATTATCGCTACCTGTATTGTGGAGCCATGCTGCTACGTACGGGTACCGTATAACGGAGCAATCGATGGTTGGGCCACCATTAACCGGTTTTTCTTGCTGACAGAAAAATTGTGTTTTTCGCCAGAAAGCATAGTCGTGAAGCAACGTCATATTTAATTTCCTTCTTCCAGTGCAATAATTTACTTGGCTTCGGTAGTACAGATGCATTCGGCCAGATCGTCGGCAAAGAGATATCGCAAAAATACGCGTATCTGTGAAAAATAACACTAATGCCAAAGTAAATTTTGTATCATTTCTCTCGATAAAAAAAAAAAAAAACATAATATTGCGACAGATAGGTAAAATGTTGACTTCATTTTTACAGCAAAAAAATATCTCTTCTTTTATTTCCCATATGTGTATTTATCGCGTACATACATACGTATGTACTACATGCTGAACAATTTCTTTACATCTTCATCCCCTGAATCCTAATCCCACAATTTTTGCCATTAAATATAAATATATATAGAATAAATTTATTTAACATAGAAAAAAAGGACGGGATAACGTGCCATTCATGCATGTATAAATATATATATATATATATTATTTTTGGTTGTTCGTAAAAAAGAATAAACTTAAAGCGAAAATAAAGATATAATATTATTAAAACACCCATGCACTGCTAACGCAACGTTCTTAAATATATATTCACGAGTCTCGTTGATGTTGTCGAATGGATTCTGGATATTTCGTTGCACGTTCACCTGGAGCAAAATCATGACCTGCATCGGGAAGCGCACCCCGCCGCGCACTGACTGCTCCGCACCCCCTATGCTTTTATGTCCCTCTTACGTCTCCAAACGAATCTGATCCTCTTACCACTCGCCATCATCGTTACCCCCATTTATCTTCTCTCTCCCTTCCTCTATCAAAGGATCTTCTCAAGACATGCGTATCAGGCTCGGCAAAATACGTCAACGATCGGTACAATTGTTCCTGAATATTGAATATTTCACTGGAAGCGTGAATATTCTTCAATAATAATCGATGTATATCTAAACAAAGATTCTAATTTATTCGAATTTCATGTATTATCTTAACTAAACTGTATCTACCTAATATATGGTCGTAATTTTAAATATAATATTACGAAAATCAATGGAATTTATCAATTTGGATTATTAATCCTATTATTCAATTATATTTTCGTAATAATGTTCATATTAGAAGTTTTATACGTAGAATATTTGTCGATTAAATGAAGTTTCATTACACGGGGTTGTTTTCAATGTATTACATCTGATTCAAATTGTGGCGCCTTTTGTTGCGTAAATATGGCACTTTCCAAAGGAAATGATGACCCACATATTATACGATTTAAACAATTGTAAATATTATATTTATTTGATTACAATTGTATTACTTTTTATATGAATTTATATATTATTAATAATTTCATTCGTTTTTGTAGATAAACATTTGAAATATTTCAATTAATTAACATCTCGACAATATCAATTGATTACTTGTGTAGTAAGATTCTTGTTAAAGCTGATTAATGATTCGTTACTGTAAACCTGCTTTGTACCAATAGTCACTTGCTTTTCACTATATCTGTTACAACTGTATTGTGAAATAAAGGAAATGCATGTTAAATTTTTTATTAAATAATCTTAAAACTGCTTCGTCATTTCTAGCATATAATTAACATACTAAAATGATATTGAAATCTCACTAGGAAACCGATTCAAAGTTCAACTTCAATCGATTTGTAGTTTTCATTCTTTGATAAAAAATTGGGTGAGTCTTCATTATTTGATAACATAATTAATTCAGGGTTATTTGAATTCTAATATAGAAGTAACACTTAGTATTCATTACTATTTACAGGAAAAAGACGACTAATCAATATTTTGATATTAAATTCTTAACACTTGTCATATCAAATTAAGAAAGATGGGTCCCAAAGGTAAAATATATGTGATCGGTGTTGGGATGACTAAATTTGAGAAACCTGGAAAACAGGATGGATCAGATTATCCAGAATTAGCAAAAGAAGCGTTAAACAATGCTTTGAAAGATGCTAAAGTTCCATACAGTAATATCAAAGCTGCTTGCGTTGGATACGTTTATGGAGACTCAACTTGTGGTCAAAGAGCTATTTACGAAGTAGGATTGAGTGGTTGTCCTATTTATAATGTTAATAATAATTGTTCAACTGGATCAACTGCATTAATGTTGGCTAAGCAAATCATAGAAAGCGGAAATGCTGATTGCGCTTTAGCTCTTGGTTTTGAAAAAATGGAACGAGGTTCATTGACATCTAAATTCACTGATCGTACAAATCCAATGGAGAAACATGTTCAAGTTATGGCTGATATTGCTGGTAAATTATAAATCATATTTATATGATGTACACATTTATATATTAATTTGTAATATATTATTTATTATAGAAATAAATGAAAGACCAATTACTGCTCAAATGTTTGGAAATGCTGGTCTTGAACATATGAAGAAATATGGAACAAAAGCTGAACATTTTGCAAAAATTGCTTATAAAAATCATTTACATTCCGTAAACAATCCATATTCTCAGTTTCAAGAAAAGTATTCTTTAGAACAAATAATGAAATCTCCAAATGTATTTGGACCTCTTACAAAACTTCAATGCTGTCCTACTTCTGATGGTGCAGCAGCTGCTATTTTAGCTAATGAAGATTTTGTTCGTAAACATCGATTAGAGTCACAAGCAGTAGAAATTTTAGCTATGGAAATGTCTACTGACTTGCCATCCACATTCTCAGAGAATAGTTGCATCAAACTTATTGGGTATTAAAGATATCATTATTTTTCTGTTATTTTATATCTATTATAAGAAAAATCAACTATTATAATAAGTAATATTTGTTTGTAGATACGATATGACCAAGAATGCTGCAGAAAAGGTTTTCACGATAACCAAGTATAGACCGATAGACGTAGATGTAATAGAGTTGCACGATTGTTTTTCAACCAACGAACTGATCACTTATGAAGCTTTAGGACTTTGTCCTCCAGGCAAAGGTGGACAACTGGTGGATTCTGGAGACAATACGTATGGTGGAAAGTATGTCATCAATCCTAGCGGTGGTTTAATTTCCAAAGGACATCCCTTAGGAGCTACGGGCATAGCTCAATGTGCAGAACTTTGTTGGCAACTTCGAGGACAAGCTGGAAAACGACAAGTGCAAGGAGCGAAATTAGCATTACAACATAATATAGGTTTAGGCGGTGCTGTTGTAGTTGCTTTATATAAATTAGGCTTTCCTAATAGCGCACCTAATCTCGCGAAAAATGCTGTTGCCCCTTCACCTCAATCTTCTGGCACTGTTAAACAGAACAAAACTGGCAGCGTTGATCCAAATTCCTTCAAGGCTGCTCCACTTTTTAAATTACTCGAAGTTGCAATGAAAGAAGATCAGGATGGTCTGATAGAAAAAGCTCGTGGAATTTATGGAGTTAAGGTGATAAATGGACCAGGAGGTGCAGAAGCATATTGGGTGATAAATGCTAAAACAGGCAAAGGATCAGTTGAATTAAATGGTAAAAGTAAACCCGATATTATATTTACCATCAGTGATCACGATATAACTGATTTTATCACGGGAAAATTAAATCCACAAAAAGCATTCTTTCAAGGTAAAATTAAACTTCAAGGTAATATAGCCTTTGCTATGAAATTAATTGCATTACAAAAAAATGCAGCAGCCAAAATCGATTTACTTCGTTCTCGATTATAATTCTATTTCCGATGAAAAACAACTCATATATCGATAATCACGGGGGTTATATGGATACGAATATTTTTTTCTTTATTAATCCTTATGTTGGGAATACTTTTTAAGATCAAAACAATAAGTTTTAGGAACTAGGGTATAATTTGTAACGGGTTAAAAATAAATACTATATTCAAAGTTGATAATAATATATAAATTTATAATAAATAATCGAATTAATATTTATCATTTGGATAAATAATGAGTCGATAATAATTAAAGAGTCCAATTTTTGTCAAAAACATTATACATGAATATATGAACAAATTTCAGATTACCTTTTTTTAAAGCTGCATATAAAAATATATATATATATATATATATATGAATAATTATTGTGCAATTACAAATTATATTTTATACTCATTAGTTTAGATAAATTTTTTTTATATAATGTTTTTATATGTATTGTTATATCTATGTCTTATCTTTCATTTAATAAAAAATATATATTTTTATGACAAAAACTTGTTACTTTTCTTTTTATTTATTTTTTTTTTTATAATAATTATTTAAGACTACGATAATTAAAAAGATAATTTATTAAATAATATTTTTATAAAATAAATCTAGAAAATCTATTTAATAATTACGTTATTCATTATCAGACGAATTACTGTTTGTATCATCATCACCATCATCATCGTCTTCTGAATCAGAACTACTTGTGTTATTCCATTCTTGTAAGGATAAATCATCATGTATTATAGTTTTCCATTCATCCATTTTACGACAATCTATAATATACATACATATTATTAATATTTATCTAGATATTGCACAATATTTTTCAAATATTTACACTTGACATACCTAAACTATAAAAATCATTAAATGTAAATTGCTTATCACCGACTTCATACATGCCACCATACAAATATAAAATATTATTTTTTACAACAAGTCCAGGATTTATTCTTGGCGAAGGAACAAATAGATTTTCAGCTTTTCCCGTATTATTTGTCTGTGTGCTGCATGGTGCACTTGAACTAACTGTTAACTGATATAATAGAACAAATAAATTTACATTATTTTTAATACATACATAATAAATAAAAGTAATCAAAAAGACTTACTGTAAATACGTCATCCTCGTCGGTATAAATTATTGGTGGTTGTACGGGTTTATTAGAATCAATTACTTCTGTTTCTGAATTTTCACGATTATTAAAACTTTCTTTATCTTCATGCAAACTACTTTCATCCGTTTGATCTTCCTTTTGTGCTTTCTCTTTTTTACGTTGCCCTGGTTGTTCTCTTTTACCAGTCAATGTAACTGTAATTTAAAACACGATGTACATTATTTTGAAACAATAATAGTGTTTTTTTTGTTTACCTTCGTGCCATTGAAATTTTTCTAAATCTAACGACAACAGATCATTATAAAATGTTCCTTGTAATTCTTCATCATCATCTATATTATCAAAAACTCCACCAAATGCATATGCTAAATGTGGTTGTACTAAAACACCAGTCATACCGCAACGAGGAGAACATTTAAGACCTGACTGTTTTGTTAATACCCATTTCCATTTAAGACCAGTTTGATCATTCTCTACAATAAAAATTCATATATTTTAGAAAAGATAAAACTAATAATCTTAGAAAATATAGTATAGAAATATTCTTACTATCTTGAGATAATAAGAACATATCTGTATGAACTTGTCCCTTGTCGACTTCTGCTTTTATTTTGTCTTTACTATAGCCACCATAAATGAGTACTTTTTCAGACACCGGTAACATTATACATCCGGAACGTGGTGCTGGTGGATTTCCTGAAAAATTTGATCTAAATGATCATTTTCTTTTTATATTAAATATTATTATTTTATAATGAAATAATTTGATTAAATTACCAGCGCATTCAATTTTGTGCCATGTATATGTTTCCAAATTAAACATGTGAATATCATTATAATATTTACAATCTCTAAGATTATCATAAAAGCCTCCGAATACTATTAATTTCTTTTTCATATGAATCATTCGATGACCACTTCTAGCTGATGGACCACCAGGAGATCTTAAATAAACATTTTATAGATGATTAAAATCGTGTCGATAAATTACAATTTGTGATTTTTACAACTTACACTATTTTTTCCCACTTTTTTTCTCCCGTTCTATAAACCCATAAATCTTTGTAATGATAGAATTGTGATTCAGATGGACTAGAAAATTCTCCACCAAAGATCCACATCTCTCCTTTATTCGTAGAGGTAATTATTGCTTGATGACCACATCGAGGTGGTGGTGCTCCTGGTGCTTTTATTACTGTCCATTCTTTTTTATTTAAATTATACGTAAACAAGTCACCGTACACGGTTGTCTAGATAAAATGAACATTGTTATTTAAAGAAAAATTGTGTTGATGTGCAAATACAACTTTAATATATAAGTAATGAAATAAAACCTTTTGACCATCGTGAAATTCTCCACCAAACATAATAAGTTCATCTTTAAAGGGATGAGCTACTAAAGAAAAATTAACCCTACGTGACGGTGGTTCTATTACAATTTCTACGACACGTTGTCTACGAGCTTCTTCTCGTTCAATATCGGCAATCACCTTTTCTATATCCTCCTAAAGTTATCCAATAATTAATTCAATATCAAATTATAAATAGTAATGTAATTCTAATACATTCATTTGTTAATATAAGAAATCAATTAAAACTAACCTCTCCAAGAGCTGCTAATTCTTTCTTCTGTTTAGCACTTAATTTCTTTTCAGTTTTAATAGCCGTTTTAACCATACCACTTAACTTTTTCTTATTTTTATCCTTTTTACCCATGTTTAGAAGAAAATAATTATGTTTACGATAAATAATAAAACAAATGCACGCGCGAACACTGTTTTACCCGTAAAGTGATACCGGAACGGTAAACATAAACGCTACTGTCATTTTTAGTACGATAAATCGACCACTAGATGGCAGTAAGATCGGCGACCGCAGCGCACCTACGGGACATTTCTATGCAATTGAAACTTTATATTCTTGCATGAGATTAGCCTCTCTAAGGTTTTAAATTATATTCTCTTATTCGATTATTATATACCAGTGTTGAATTCCATACGAATATTTAACAAATATTTTTTTTTAGCAATAATCAAGTTTTTTCCGGATTATTATAATATTTCGCATTATTTGTGGCAATAAAAGGAATTGTTTTATCAAAATGGTTATACGATATGAATGCACACAGTGAAAAATTACCGCGTAAATTATGCGAATGATGTTTTTTAAACAACGAATCTCTTCAGTGACAATAATGGCACGAGATGAAGAAATTGATATTATCGTTGAGTCGTGACAACATTTGTTATTTAAATTATTTTGTGCCATATACCATTGGAAACGTCAAGTTTTGAAGTTTTACGTTCATTAGGAGTTGAATTTTCTTTTCACTATTCTCTGTGTCACGAGGTTTTTGCGCAATATAATATTCAGAGAATTTATACTGGAAGTTAAAATGGAGAACAGGTAAATGACAAATTTCTTTAAGTTGTAATTTAATCATTTGCATATTTTACGTTATGTTGCTTGCATGTTTGGTTATGTAAAAAAAAAGTTGAGATTTTGTATATAATGTGTGAAAACAATGACGAAAATAATGATTAATTGTATTATTGTAGAAAAAGTAAAAAACGTACAAATAAGAAGAATAATACGTCTGGTAACTGGGTGAACAACAGTCAATACGATCAAAGCAGCAACGCTATGTCAAACATGGAATATCCTCAAGTTGTATGGCAACCAGGAATTCAATCACATGTTCCAAATCACAATGGACAACGTCTTTTTGCAGCTATGTCAGATCCTAGCGTATGCAGTTATTCACCGATGCCAATGACTTACACCATGGAACCTGTCTCGCTTCCAACTATGTACAGATTTTATCAACCAATGCCTTATGGCGTTCAAAATGTGAATGCTAGACTGAAGCAAAAATTTCATCCAAAACAACCTCCGGTTATTCCTAGTGGATATACAAGTCTGCAAGAGAATCATCAAAATAATTCGACAATCTTGTCATCTTATCAAAATGGAGAATATGCTAGTTTACCGCCAGTTGCCAATAAAAGTAATGGAATTAACGAAGATGAAATTAGTTCAGAACATAGAAGATATTCGGATCCAGGTTTGGGACCTACAGAACCTTCCGTTAACAACCAGGACGAAGATTCGGATAGCGGTGACAGCAGTAGCTCTGTTACAACTATTGGTCGAAGTAACAAATTGGTTTTATCTCTCATCGAACAGGTCAGATTCATTTAATTAAATAATAATAATAATAATAATAATAATACATTATTGTATAAAATGAAAAAAGTATGAAATATAGTCTCGTGATAAATTCTTTTTAGATGGCAGAATTAAAAAAAACTAATAGCCAACTTTTTAAGGAATTAAGCGAGGCTAAATTCGAACTGGAGACGATGAAATTAAAATTTTCAGAATTTAAACATAGTTCTGATTATCAACCAGGAATGTTGTCAGGTAACATTTGATTATTTTCTTCGATTTTGAATGAGTTATAGAAAAAAGAAAATTACCAAAATACACAATAACAATTATGTTTTTCTTATGATTATAGATCTTATTCGGGAGATCAGGGAAGCGAACAAAATATGCGAGGAAGGATTAGTGACAAAAATACAATCTATGATGGAGGAGAAATCTAATCAAAGATCCATGGATATAGAATTATTAAAGGTGTGTGTATCACTTAATATTTACAAAAATTTTAATTAATAAAATATAAAGCAATTAGAGTAACAAGTATAGATCATGTAAAAATACTGCAAATTTCGAATTATCTTATTTATAACTAAAATAGAATTATTTTGTTTTTTTTTCCCCCAAAGTTTAGTCACTCGATCTTTCACGTAACTATTGTAGATATACTACTTATGTGTTGGTAAACGGTCTGTTTGATTAGGATAGCCAGGTGATTCCAAGATCCTTTGTTCATTTTTTTTTTTGTCGATCCTTTCCCTCCGATTATCACGTATACGCGAATTTCTATCAGATGATTATGGTCGTATTTTTCCAACTTGAAGCGTAAAAACTTCATCATTTTCTTCGGTTTTTCACACAAAAGAAAATTTATCTCTACCCTCATTTATTTACTTTTCCATGTTAAATACTTGATCAAAGTTATCTTCTTCTTCTTGATATAACACGTAGATGAAAATTGATTGAAATTTTCAAAGCGATATGATTGAAGAATATTTTCTTGGAACAAGTTCAAATTCATTTATATAAAATAGATAAAATATAAAATGGGGAAGTGAGATTATAAGGACGTTTAGAGATAAGGAAGGGTAGCGTCATAAGAATGATCTTATTCCTGACCAAAGGGAGATATTGACGTTCTAACTGACTGGCAGTTGATATCGGAGAACCTAATGTAGACATAATACGAAATATCCGTGACGTGGTAAAAGTGATTAGGTTTCACATGGGGGAGAGAGACAGGATGAGATAGTGAACGAATGAATGCTAGAGACAGAGAAAAAGAGAAGAAAAAAGAAAAAAAGAGAGAGAGAGAGAGAGAAAGAAAGAGAGAAGGGAGGTGCCTGGAGAAGGACGCGTTTGAGGAGTGGAGAAAGGTGGAGGATGGGGCACTTAACGGCTGTCAGAGCCGGTCTCCCTCGTCCTCTTTTCCCTCTTTGCCCTGTCTTCTCAGGTTTCAACCATCCATTAGCCTCATCAACCGAAGCGATGGCGGCCACCGCCATGCCGCTTGCCTATTGGCAATCTCGTAATTGAACCTCCGGGAGCGTTTCATTGTCGTTGATGTAAATGTAGTTCAGTTAACTATGGACGATGCTCGTTGCGATAGAATAAAATACGACGACGATATTTATAATCGTTCAATTTTCTTTCTATCTTTCGATAAATCATAAAAGTACAAACGACGTGTCTTTATAAATTATTCTTTTTTATCGTCGTTTATACCATTCTCTCTTAAGAAACATATAAAAATAAATGATTTTTTTTTTTCCTGTTCAGGGCCAAATATCAAAGCTCGTGAAGGAGAAGGAGGAAAGCGAACGACGAATATCCAAGTTGGAGGAAGAAGTAGCTATATTGAAGTCGAGCTCAAAGTGAGTGGCTGCTTTGTCTTACCTTTTAACGTATGAAAAGATGCTTCTTGTGTGGTAAGAGGGTTTCATGAAGGAAAGAGGTCTTTACAAAATTTCATATAGTATTATTTTCTATCTGTCGTAACTATTAGAGCGATTCTCGTATTCGTCAAGTCCTACGATACGTATAACATCGTTTTACATAAATCGCGAAAAAAGAAAATGAATGAATGATTGATTTTGACGGTTAAATAAATGATCATAATAATGAATATAAATTGGATTATCGTTGGATATTTTTGACCAGGCGAGAATGGTATATCGTTTTCTATCGGACACTCCTTGTTTGTGATATCGGACGTTAAAAGTATAATAATAGTTTGTGATAAGAAACGATAGACGGCCGGTACGGTAATAAAGAGCAATTCTATTCCGGGATAGTAACGAGGGCCGAGAGATAGCAGCTTTCGAGGAGGAGACTTTGGCCTTGCGACGGGAACTACAGGAGGCACTAGCAACTAGGAATCTGACCGATGGAACGACTAAGCACGGGACAAAGTGCGTAAATGCGATATCAAGATCTGTCACGCCTGTAATTTTCGAAACGCCCCGTATAACGAGCACCCCCGTGCGTACCGCTCTTACCGAGACCTGCAACCTTGTTCCCGCCATCTCCTCTTCGATTCCCAGCACGTCCGTCGTCTCCGATCTCCGTTCTCGATCTTCGGAGTATTACCGAAGTCTTCTCGACCGCGATAATAAACAGCAGCAGCAGCAACAACAACAACAACAACAGCAGGAGGAGGTGGAGGAGGAGGAGGAAGAAGAAGAAGAGGAGAAGGAGGAGAAGAAGAAAAAGAAGAAGAAGAAGAAGAAGACCAATTTTCTAAAATTATTTGCCGAGTCTTTAGACGAGGGGAAGGAAAACGACAAAATGACCGTCCTTCCAACCGAGCCACAACTCTCGCCGTTGTTTTCGCTTGACAGCGAGGAAAGTGTAGAACAGTTAGAATCGGTTCAAGAGAATCGGCGAAACGAGAAAATCGACGAGGCAGAGAGAACGAGAGCTGCCGGAGCAGGAGGAGCAGGAGGAGGAGGAGGAGGAGAAAAAGAAAAGTTAGGAGGAGGAGGAACCAATACCAATGTCAATAGCAGTTCCAACCAGAGAAAAGGATCGAAGAGATCTCGTAAGAAAAAAACAGCCGCTGCGAGAAAGACCGATGATAATAAAGAAGATTCCATTTGGTCGACGACACCTTCGAACACCTCCCCGATCGTTAACGAAAAGAGAGAAAAGGAAGAACAACAACGCGATCTGCTCGTCCTCGAGAACGTACCAAAAGATCTTTGCTCGGGAGCGGGAATCCTGACCTCCAGAGTCCTGACAGCACCTTCACGCGCCACCTACACCACCGCCTACATTTAGGTTCCGTACGCGCGGGGCCCGACAAAAAAGCAAACCACTCGTCGGCGTATCGCCGAGGGCAAAAGGGGGCTTCAAAGGGCTTGCTAGAGGCTACTACTATGTACATGTCGAATAGCACGTAGGTTTCTATCATACACTCCTCGTGCATGCACTCTCTTCCTAGTTTTATACCTTTTTTATTTTTTTTTTATTTTTTCTTTTTTCTTTCCTTTTTACCCGAGATTACGTCGATCATATTCAACAGGATTTATTTCACAAGCTTTTATTACCTGTATCGATCCTTCTTCCTTATTTTTAATTGCTATGATTTCCTTCTTTTTTAAACGATCGCAATAGTCTACATTTTAATTTGCGCGTACTCTCGGGAAAAACGAATGATACGTACGTACGTACATTGCTTGGAATGTCTCTCCAATATCGTCTTCTTTTGATTTTTTTTTTTTTTTTTTCTTATCCCCATCTCCTTATTTCTTTTTTTTTTTTTTTTTTTTTTCTTATCCCCATCTCCTTATTTCTTTTCCTTCACCGTTTACGTTTACACGTCTTCTTACGCTACTTCACGTATGCACGTATGCACGTATGCACATATGTAAGTAAGTATTTATATACTTGCATATCTCTCGCTGTTTGGTAATCATACAAGTCTTTTTAGACTTTCTAATTCTTACGCACCTTTTGCACAAATCTTTGCACGATCCCCTCCCTTCCCCTCCCCTCGCCCCTCTCCTCTTTCTCTCTCTTTATTCTTCTTCCGTCTCTCTTGACTTTTTTTATTATTATTTTTTTGTTGTTAAGTTTTAGTACATGGGACTGCTTTATATCAGCACATTTCCTTTGCTTGCTTCTAAATATTTTGATGGTGCTTGATCGGTTCTGATTAGAGGTGGTCCTATTTGAACGGATGAGAACGTAACGAATGAAAAATCAAATGAAACGTGATTTGTCAGAATGGACAAGCTGGTGGACGATCTAGGAAAAAAGGCAAAGGAGATCAGCGTAAACAACAACAACAACAACAACAACAACAACAACGACGACAATGGCGACAAAGAGGAACGTGTCTTTTCTTCTTCCGTCAATCGTCCTTCGTCTACCATCTGCCCATCGCAGTTCGATATTACTTCTACGGGAAAACGATGTCGTGTTTTGAAAAATTCATCCCCGCTTCCGTCATCATCGTCGTCGTCGTCGTCGTCGTCGTCGTCGGCGTCGTCGGCGTCGTCCTTGGCAGGCATCTTCGAAGAAGACGAAGAGATTGGTTTAAACATCGACGAGGATCTTAGCACGAAAAAATTCAAAAATTATACTACTAATCGTACTGATTCTAAACTAACTAATTTACACGACAATTGTATGAATCTTACAGGACCCGTTACCGATCTTTAAAAAAAAAACAAACAAACAAACAAACGTCTCATCATCCCTCTTTATCCTCGATATTTCGTTCTCGATATTAATATGTCTCTCTTGATGCTTCATTAGTTATTAAGAATAATTTATTGTTAATTTTCCTCATTCTCCTTCAACCCTTCCCAAAAAGTCCAATGTGTTTGACTTAATTGACTTATGGTTTCACTTAGTCTTTGTCGTTGACGTGTTACACCTATGAGTACTTAAACGAAACGATCGTTTCAAATTGTGCGCATTTTTTATCTCTCTCTCCTTTTTTTTTTTTTATTTTTTTTTTTTTTCCCCCCCCCCCATTTTTATTTATACACGAAGAGCTTCATTATATCATTTGTATGCAATATGATTTATTTTCGATTGCGAAATCGGTCGTCTTTCGTGATTCGTTATTGCAACAATTTTTTATTTTTTATTTTTTATTTTATACTTTATTATATAGATATATAGATACGCGTATATTTTCCCACGTATATTTGTTCTCTAACGAAAACAAATTATCTCTCTCTCGAAGATCTGAAATAATTCATTACCGCGTATATTATTCTTTTCATTATAATTACTGCCAAATCAGTTTTTGTCTTTCTTTTTTTACTTTAAAGCAAAAATAGCAAAATGCCACGATCTTTATTGCGTTCATAATATTTTAATCTTTGCTTACCACCCTTCCTTGAGTAACACACGCTTACCACACCCAGGTCCTTTGGACCCGGGCGAGACAAATTGTTATAAATAATTAACTATTGCATAGATTTACTTTCAACATTTTTTTGACACTTCTTTAATACTTACTATATAGGTTTTATAGCTTTAAATTAAATGTAAATATGTTGAAAAAAAATTATTAAAGTTGAACAATTGAGAAAAATGATTCAAGTTGCAAAAAAGATCTGGGTGATCTTTTCGGACCAAGTGTGCTAAGCAAAGGTTAATATAAACGATGAATATACAACGATAAAGTAGAGATTCTTCATTAATTATTAGTTCGTAAATTATAATAATCTATAATGTAAACGTAATGTAAACGTAATGAAAAAAAAAAAAAACATATTTATATTATTAGGAATGAATAATTGAAATAAAAATAAAAATGAAATAGTTGTTAAGGAAGAAACGATTGTGTTAATTACATGATCGTCGTTGAATAAATAGATTATTATATTTTCGTATCTGCATATATATATATATAGGACTTATTATATTAATATAATATAAATTGTATATAACAAGAATAACATTTAATAGATATGTATTTTAAACAAATGATATTTTATTATTACATTTGAACAGAATGCATTGGAAATTGAATTCTTTTTTGCACTTTCGTATTTGACTTTTTTCTTCTGTTAATATTAAATTTGCAATTGAATCGTTCAATGCACACATCGATTAATTCCATAAAACAAAAAGTTGAAAAATGTGATGAAATAATGTACATTGTTCTTTAAATTTCTTTTAATGGTCAAACGAAATTTTCCCGTTTAATGGTGTTCATTTTTATTATTCAGAAAAGTTATTATAAATATTAAATAGTTATGACTAAAACCAAGTTGCTTTGATACTTAAATTTAAGATTTTTTTTTTTTTTCAAAAAGTGTAGTTATAATCGATGTGTACAATGAATGGCTTCAATTATTACTACTCGTCTTTGTTTAAATAAATATCGCGCGAGCAAAATATCAAAGCAATGTAATTTTAATCATTTTTGCGCAAAATTTTCAACGTAATCTCGATAAACAGTTTGTAATTTGTGTTTAAAAGTGTTAACACTGGATCTGACGTTTATAAATATTAATCTAATATCAATAATAAGATTTTATTTGGAAATGTTTTCTTTCTAATATCGACGATCAATATTTTCTATAAATTGTAATAATAATAATTGATGATCATCTAATCAAATTAGTTTTAGATACTTGAAATGTTAACAATTAGCCTTATCGCATAATAGTGTTTGCAGGAACAACATATAACGTTTAAGTTGGATTGTAAAAACACAATATAGGAGCGATAATTAAGTGATATATTGTTTTTATTAGAATTAACCAAAGAATCGGGATTTTCTTATCTTTTATTTGTATTTTTTATTCTCTTCCATGTAGTAGTAGGGAGTTTTATCATAAAGAGAGTAAATACGATCAAACTAAATAGTAATGAAAACACCTACTAATGATAATGTTTGTGTGTATGTAGTATATAAGTTTAATAACTAAGCAAATAATTCGTCTATTAAATTGAAATAATACATAAATAATTATCTAAAAAAAAAAAAAAAAAAAACAACAGACTATTGATAGATAAAAGGCCGTAAATAGTGGTGGTAAATGTAAGTACGGTTTTTCGTAATATGAAATTTCAACTGAAAGTGTATTTTTATGAAGATTTTTTTGATTATACACTTTGTAGTGCTTTTGATTAAACAAACCTGTGTGTTTGTGTGTGTGTGTGTGTGTCATCGCATAATCGCATATATTCAATATTTAATCTCTTTGTAATAATAATCTCTGATAGATTTAATGATTAACCGTATTTGTAATATTTAATTTGTTTTTTTTTTTTTGCGGCACCATTTTTTCAGTTCAATACTTTTAACAAATGAAATATTTCATATCGTAATTAAATGGCTGTTGCAATTTCCTCGTAACACCACGTTACGCGTATATGCGTCTATCAGTTTTGCATACGAGGTAAGAAATTCTCAGGTGACAATTTTAAACGTCGTCGTTGTGTAGGATTTGTCGAAGCATAAATTATGATAAGAGTTATGATAAGTAATAGGACTATGATATCCTGCGCTAAAGAGAGAGAGAGAGAGAGAGAGAGAATATTCGAAATAATCGATAGGATAACTTCTCTCTCTCGTATTTTTTGTATTATTTTTGTAAAATGATAAAAAAAAAACATGTGAAATATTTTGTTAGCCAAATTTTTCAATCAATAGAGAATAAAGAGAGAGAAAGAGAGAAATTTAATTTTTCATGAATTTGAAATAATAAACAAAATTCAAATAAATATGAAGAAAAAGAAAAACAATGAACATTATCGTAAAAAATTTGTCATCATTTCTTCCTTAGGAAAGATGAAAAAAACTATTTGTAGTAAATCGATTATTTCGATTTTTCCTTATAAAATAGAATAGTTGTTATAATAGTACACACTGTATATATTGTACATACAGGGGAATCGTGGTGTTGTATTATTTTGATTAGCAGAAAACGTTTAAGTTAAGTTTTCTCTCGTTAGGTCGTTAATCATGGTAGTAGTAGTAGTTTCTTACTCATTTTCTTCATGCTCGTTTCGTTCGAGATGATCGAATGTTTATCCAATGTCGTATCCTCGTCCTAGGTATAGAGGGTGTTTTCCAAGTGTTGTGATTAGCCACACGCGAAAGGTGTGTGTTATTCTTGCGTATGGATCTATGTTTTTGCGTGCTGCGCAACCTCCCACGAAGATCGTCTGAAACAGTAAAAGGTATATATCTCGGTAGTATCTTCGATAACAAGGTAGTAAGAAAACATTATTTCGACATCGAGATCCAAAGTAAAACGCTAAAGGGAAAACTTTTTCCTAGTTTCCCTTCCACCACCACCACCACCACCACTGCCACAACCGCCTCTTTTACTAAGATTATTTTTCTATTTCTTCTTTTACAGATATTTATCGTCTAATATAAACCTACTTATATCATCTTTCTAAATGTTGATTATTTTATTTATTATTATTCAAATAATAAGAGCACATTTCAATTTCTTTAAGGCGAGTGAGACGGCCGATTTCTGCACGCGCCCGTATTATTTATTTTATATTTCTAGGATTTTTTTTTTCTACACTTAAATACAATAGAAAATGAAAAATAAGAATGTGAAAGCAAAGAATAAGAATCGTTTTTATTTTTCGAAATAATAATCAAGTTGACGCACGTTTAACATTGCAATATTCAGCTTTTCTCTGTAATGTGCAACAAAATCTAAAATTAACGTTAAAATATTCATTATTTCTGTATTTTTGGTCCTTTTTTTTCTTTTTTTTTTGTCAAAACAATGTTCTGAACTATATCTTTATGCAAAAAAAAAAAAAAATGATTTTAATTTCAACTGGAATTTATTAATTGATCAACTGGAATGTATATTTATCGGTAATAATAAAACCAGGTTTTCAAGATTCATCATCATCATCATCATCATCATCATCATCATCATCACCATCATCATAATTTCTTGACGATAGATTTACAAAGAACCTATATATATATACCTTCGAAAAAAGAAAAAAAAAAAAACCTTTGAAGGATCAGAGAGAAAAGTACCGACGGTCGTAAATCGATTATGGTTTTATGGTGGCGGCATTTGCGACAGAAAAGTTTTTTTTCGTTTGCGCGTACAACTGCGAACCTTTGTTCTTCCTATCTTGAGCAATGAATTGTCTTGTGTTACCTGGTGCGCAGGTACTTTTGAATACTTTTATGATGATTCTTCTAGCGTTGTTAACGCTTATGCAGGTGAGAACGGAAGAAAAGAGAGATAAATAGAAAGAGAGAGAAA